TATATATATATATATATATATTTGATGGATTTGATGGATTTTTAAAATTCAAAACCAAACTACGTCACCAACAAGTATTGGCTCGTGGGCCTGCCTTCTTTAATCTTTAAAAACAAAGAGCTATGGTAAAGTGAAGTTTCATTGCCCAGAGCTAAAGAAAGCATCCTCTCAGATGGCAGATACAGATACAGATACAGGGTTGAATCTTCTGGTGGAGAACCTCTTGGATTCAGTAAGAGAAAAAGCGAAGTTTATTGCAGACAATTCGAAGCTGCAGATTTATGATTTAGAGGATGACTTTTTACATCTTGAGGAACAAGTTCAACGCCTACGAGCGCTCCTAAATATTGCTGCACAATGGCAGATAAATACTAGCAGTAAGTGGAAACAGTTGGTCAATAAGGACATTCGAATTACGGTACATAGAGCTGAGGATGTAATTGATGGCTTGGCTCTTATGTTTCAGCTTTACCTTGATAAAAAACAGGGACTTATCGTATTTGATAGTATAAGAGGAGACTCAGTCAGGATTATAAGAAGAGACTCAGTCAGTAATCTTGCAACTAAGATCGACGGCCTCAACGAGAAGGTGAAGGAATTTCTTCAAAACAATCAACCAGCTGTTCAGCCGGAAAAAAATTCCCAGGTATGGTATGCCTGAAATTAAAGCTCAAACCCAACCCATTTAAAAACTTATAAGTTTCTGTATGATTAACCGGGTTTTGATCCCTTAATTTTTTTGGACATGTTCAGTTTAGAGCTAGTTTTATATTGTTGAATGCCAAAATGTTCCACATAGGTGAAGGAACAAAGTGGTTGGGAATTTTTTAATGTTTAGGTTTTAAACACTCCTCTCATTTACTTCTTATTTTTTTTTTGTGATTTATATCTTCTCTCCTTAGTATTATTTCACTTGTAATTTTAGAGTGGAATAAAATATTGGTTGTGTCCGAGTAATTAGGCAAAATTAACCAAACCTCATAAATTTTAGTGTTGCTTTTATGGTTGGCTTATTGTCTTATTTATTACTTAGTAGCTGCCATAATTCTTGGTATAATAGTTGTGACTCATTCACACTATATACATTTAGCTTCCGCAACCAGTGGCGGATGCAGCGTATAACCTACGGGTTCAACTGAACCCATACCTTTCGACGCGGAGTAAAAATTTGTATGTAAAAATTCATTAAAATTGCAAAAATAGTAGATATGAACCCATAAATTTAAAAATACAATGGGTTCAATGTTAAAAGCCTTAAAATTGAACCCATAAGATTTAAATCCTGGATCCGCCTTTGTCCGCAACATATATTACAGGACAAATGAAATGCTCAAACAGTTTTCCTTGGGCGGATTGAGTTTCATATAATGGGATTACCCAATTTGCTACAAAATAAAACTAAAAGAGTAGCAATATAGAAAGATTTAGACAAGAAATGTAGATAAAAAGATACCATTTTTCTTATTTACTTCAAGTTATATGACTTCCAGCGCCTCTCTCTCTCTATATAATTAAATATGAGGACGTTGAGTCGGATGTGCGGGCACACTAGGATTGATAAGATTAGGAATGATATATTCGGGAGAAGGTGTATGTGGCTCCCATTGATGATAAGATGCGGGAAGCGAGGCTTAGATGGTTCGGGCATGTTAAGAGGAGAAACCCATATGCTCCGGTAAGGAGATGTGAGCGGCTGGTTGTGCAGGGCATGAGAAGAGGTAGAGGGCGGCCTAAAAAGTATTGAGGAGATGTGATCAGACAGGATATGACGAGGCTTCAGATTTCCGAGAACATGACACTTGATAGGAAGATGTGGAGGTCGAGTATTAGAGTTGTAGGTTAGGAGGTAGTTGAGTCTTACCTTACTTCGTACCTTTGTGAGACTAGTCTGGTAGGGTTTTTGTCTAAGACAGCGAGTGGCAACTAGCAACGTTGTGACTTACTATTTCGCTTTTCAGTGCATGACCTATTTACTAGCTTTTGCTTTGTTTTGCATCTTTCTTCTGGATTTCATGTTGTTCCTATTTTTTCTATGACTTCTATGGTGATACTAATATTGTCTCCTTTTGTCCTTTTTTTTCTTGATCTGAGAGTCTTTCGGAAACAGCCTCTCTACCCCTCCGGGGTTGGGGTAAGGTTTGCGTACACACTATCCTCCTCAGGCCCAACTAGTGCTATTTTACTGGGTTGTTGTTGTTGATATATATATATATATATATATAAAAGTGAATTTTGGACCACAGATGCGACACAACAGATGCGAAGGGAGTCACAGATGCGAGCCTTGGACTGCAAAAGAGGGCTCAAAAATGTGAGACTTTTTGTCGCAAATGCGACATCACTGGCATAATGTTAATGGTGTCATAAACATTGACCATTTGGGGGGGCTATGGAAAATGAAGTGTTCTGGGAGTAATGGAAATAAAGATGAATAAGTTATATTTCAAGGAGTAATTGACATCTAAGGTTAATGTAATTTAGAACAAAAATTAAGGCTTTTTATTTCACTGAAAGCAAGTAATAACTTAATATAGATGCTTTATTTCTAAATGCCAAAACAAAAGATTTTCAACTCTGATTTATGATGTCAATCGGTTTTGTTATCTTAAAAGGATCTTCCGCTCAAGGAAAACGAAGTCGTTGGCTTAAAAGAAGAAGCAGAAAAAGTGATCAAGCGACTTGTTGACAGATCTGAGGATCTCAATGTTGTCCCTGTTGTAGGTATGCATGGACTTGGTAAAACAACATTGGCAATAAAAGTTTTTAACGATCCCCAGATTTTAAATCAATTTGACAGCAGAATATGGGTTTATGTCGGCCAATCATATGAAATAAAGGATATCTTTATCAATATCCTCACATGTTTCACAGATCGCATTGAAGAATACCAAGACAAAGACGTGAATGAAATAGCTAAGGTAATATGTGATTTTGTGCCTAAAGAAGGTAAATGTCTCATTGTCTTGGACGATGTCTGGGCAATAGGTGTTGTCGATTTTGTCAAGAAAACTTTCCCTGAAAACAGCAAAGGACACCGGATCATGATGACCACTCATAGGCAAGATGTGGCTAGTTGTGCCAATCCAAATCCTCATGATCTAAAATTTCTGACCCAGACGGAAAGTTTTCTATTGTTGAAAAGCAGAGTTTTCGGTAGTGGATGTTTTCCTGAAGAATTAACAGAACTTGGAGAAAGCATTGCACAAAAATGTTGTGGGGTACCACTTGCAATAATAGTAATTGCAGGAGCTTTAAGAGGTCGTAAGGACAAAAATAATTGGCTCAAAGTTCAGAAATATTTTTGGCAGCACCTTATTATTAAAGATGACCCTACAAGATGCTGGAAGTTTGTTGAAATGAGCTACAATTGTTTGCCCCAAGAAATGAAGGAGTGCTTCTTGTATTGCGGAATTTTTCCTCGAGGCTTTGATATCCCTGCTTGGAAATTGATCCGTCTCTGGATTGCGGAGGGATTGATAAAATCCAGCCCAGGTTACGCCTTGGAGGAGGTAGCGGAAAATAATTTGAACGAGCTCGTCAATAGAAATTTAGTGATTGTGGTACAGAAGAAGTTTGACAGTCGAATAAAAACATGTCGTCTTCATGACATGGTACAAGAGTTTTGCAAGATGGAGGCTACTAGAGAATGTCTTTTTCATGAAGTATCTCTAACACCCGATCAAGCAATTCCAGATGATTCTCGTCGATTGTGTATCCGATCACGTTTTCTAGGTGATTTTCTGTCCAGAAAACCATACGCGGAACATGTCAGGTCTTTCTTATGCTTTTCCCCAACCCAGTTGTCTCCGTATCTAGTGACACTCCTGCACAAAGCGTTTGCACTCATAAGGGTTTTGGATGTTGAGCCCACCAATTTTATTTTTTCCAGATATTTTAATGTGCTTTATCATTTGAAGTATATGGCTTTCTCAGGTGACTTTACGGCCATTCCCCCGCCATTTTGTAGATTTCTGAATTTACAAACTCTTATATTTAATACGACTAGTAAAAGGAAGCGCTACTTGGAAACAAGATGGGAAATATGGAACATGTTACGGTTGAGGCATCTGCACAGTAACATTCCTGTACGATTGCCAAGACCTAAAACCCCAAAAGGTGAAATTTCTTGCCTGCGAACTCTTTCTATGGTTGCACCAGAAAGTTGCAACAGTTGTGTGCTTGCAAAAGTTGGTAATCTCAAAAAATTGAGTATTAAAGGGAATATGGCCCCTTTTCTTGAAATTAACAAGGATGGATTCAGCAATCATGGAGAGTTGAAGTGCCTGGAAAATTTGAAACTATTGAATGATGTCTTTACAATGATTTCAGTGCTTCACCTTCCTCCAAATTTCTTCAGATTTGCTCGTACACTAAAGAAGTTAACTTTATCGGACACAAGGTTTGATTGGCGTGAGGCAATTGGACTGGAGCAGCTGGAATGCCTTGAGGTTCTAAAGTTGAAAGACGCTTTCACCGGAAAGTCATGGAAGCTAGAGGTAGGTTTTAGCGAACTCCAAGCCTTGTCGATTGATACAACAGATTTTGAAACATGGGAGGCTTCAACTCATCATTTCCCAAGACTTAGGCACCTTGTTCTTATTTACTGTGATAAACTTGAGGCTGTTCCGGCTACGTTTGCTGATATACCTAGCCTTCGAGAGATGAGGCTTGAAAACACAAGCAAAGCGGTCAGATCTGCAAAAGAAATAGAAAGAAAGAAACAAGAGATGCAATTTCTGAACAACATTGAATTCAAGCTTACTATATCTTTCGATGTTGATTACAATGAAGTTGAAGGTCAGTAGAATTTATTTTGCCATTGGAATTATTTAGTCTCCTGTACAGTTTTTACTAAGTGTTTGTCGACATGACTGTATTCACATCTTGATTTTTCCATTGTCTGAGAGATTTTAGTAAGATTGTTTTGCATGCCATGACTTCTATTTGGTAGAATGTCCTGTGATTCTATATTTTACGTGATCATTCGTTCTTCAGAGACTGGAAGTTTCATAATTAAGTAATTTATTTCCCTTACATTCTTGCCTTGCATTTTTCTCTAACGCAGACTTGTGCGGTATTGTTAGTCCCAACATTGTCATAATAACCATTCAGTTCTTTCCATGTATGTTAGCCAACTCCAGTTCTAACTTTAGTTGACTTTTATGGTTACCAGCTGGAGTACTGTGATTAATTTAGTCATTTAACAGCCTCTTGCAAAAATGCAGGGTAAAACTGCGTACGATAGACCTTTGTGGTCCGGCCTTTCCCCGGACCCTGCGCATAGCAGAAGCTTAGGGCACCGGGCTGCCCTTTTTATTGCCACACCCAAAAAGATTCCAAAGAAACCTAACTGCAACATTGTTTCTTTCTAGATTTCACTAATTTTCTTCTATTTGTTTTCTCCTTTTTGCAGGAGGGAATCAGAGGAATGACACTTATGCGAGCCTGTGATCATAGACAAGTCGAATGCTCTTTCATATGGAGTCAGCCGCATTTCATGTTTTCTGCAGGCTATTCGTCCTAACAGTCTGTTCCAATAAAAATCCCGTTTACGTTTTATTGTATGAGCTCCACTTTCTGCTTTTAACACCTTTTCTAGGTTTCAAAACTTTTCAAGTTCTCAATTATGTGAAATTGTTTTCTTTTTGAATGGTTAACACAGCTCTGTCCATCTAGTTTGTTGTGATGTATTTATTTGCTTTACTGTTGTTTTCTCTGCTTAAGCATGGGTACCACCGTACCAACCTGAAAGACATGTTCCTTGAACCAGATAAAGGAGCTATGAATTTTATTTGGCATGTGTAATATCAGAGATGAATTGTGGTTATCTTCAAATTTATTATTACTACTTCATTTGCTTCCCTATAGGTCTAAATTGGTTGAAGATGGATGAACAATGTACAGTAAGACCTCGATCTCTTTATAATAGCATCCTTATATAATAGTGCTTCTCTATAAAAGCCAAATTTTTCTGGAACCAAATCTCATGTGCTATTATAATATATGTTTTCTATAAGCGTAATTTGCTATAACATCCAAAAATATCCGGAACCATTTAGTTCTACAATGCAACACCTCACCCTGTTACTCCATTTGCATGACTTGTATATGGAATGAATACCTAATTTAAATTAGAGGGATAATATTGTTTAACTATGATTAAGTAGTGTTTTTGAGCATTGGAACTATGATGTTTTTTTTTTCTTTTATGGGATTTCTCATTCTAAAAACATTCCTACACATTCAGACTTGTCTTATAAAAGAACTGATATAAACTATATGCTATTTTCTGTTTGGAAATTTTGTTTTTACCTATAAACTAAATTGATTATATCTGGTTGTTGATGTAATGAGGTATTGAATTTGCAGGATGGGAAGGCAATGTTGAGAAGTGGAAACAAGAAGGGGCAAATTTGGAATGGTGTTGGTGCTACAACATTTGTTTGATTGTGTTTGTATTGTTTAGCAATGTAATTGTTACATTAAAAAAAATTGTTTGTTGAATAATGATACTAATAATTGTTCAATTAGTATTATTATACGTAGACCTCCCTTCAGGCTTGTTATGCACTTCTGAAACTTCTTGTGGTATTATTTAGTGTTGAATTTGTCAAATCCCACATCGGTGGTTTAGCCTTTTGGTAGGGAATATTTCCCTATAAAAGGAGGCATAATATTTGGGATTTAAACACACCTCTCATTTGCCTTCTCATCTTCTTAAGACATGTATTTTCTCTTTTTAGTATTATTTCACTTGTATTTTTGGAATGAAATAAAATATTGTTTGTGTCCAAGAAAGTAGGCAAAATTGGCTAAACTTCGTAAATTCTGGTGTTCCTCTTATTGTTGCTTTATTGTCTTATTTATTATTTGGTGGCTGTCATAATTTTTGGTATAGTAGTTGTGACTTATTCACATTATATACATTTGGCTTCCGCAACAATTGGTATCAGAACCAAGGTATTGTCTAAGTATGCTCTGTGGTTGCAGCATAGTCTGATCTTCCACATCAGAAAAGATTTATCTTGGTAACTGAGTCAAGGTTCTGTCTGAGTATGCTCTGTGGTTGCAGCTTAGTCTGATCTTCCACACCAGAAAGGAAATATTTTGATTTGTGTCGTTAGCTATTAAATAGTATTTGTGTCAAAGATGAGACATAATAAACAAGAAGAATCTACATCAAGTGTCAACAATACGTCATCATTGGCATCTTCGCTTATGACAAGAATTGTGTTAAATGCGAAATTTGCGGTAGAAATTTTTGCCGGGTCAGGACATTTTGAGATGTGGCAAGGCGGGGTTCTATATGTCCTTTTTCAACAAGGGCTAGATCTTGCCATTGAAGAAAAATAAACCAGATGTTATTGGAGAAGAAGATTGGAGAATTTTCAACCACGTTGCTTGCGATACCATTAGATCGTACCTTGCTAGAGAGCAGAAATATCCATACACAAAGGAAACTTCTGCAAGTAAATTATGGAAAGTATTGGAGGATAAATTTTTGAAGAAAAACAGTCAAAATAAATTGTACATGAAAAAGAGACTATTTCGCTTCACCTATGTTTCTGGTACTACGATGAATGAACATATCACCAGTTTCAATAAGTTGGTCACAGATTTGCAAAATATGGATGCAACTTTTGATGATGGTGACTTGGCCTCGATGTTGTTGGGGTCACTTCCTGATGAGTACGAGCACCTTGAAACTACTCTATTCCACGAAAATGACGAAATTTCTCTCAGAGAAGTTTGTTCGGCTTTATACAACTATGAACAAAGAAAGGGAGAAAAATAGAAGGGCGGAGAAGGAGAAGCACTGGTTGTGAGGGGTCGTCCTCAAGATCAAACGAGGACAAAGAAGAGAAGATCCAAGTCAAGATCTAGACCCAGCAAAGATGAATGTGCCTTTTGTCGAGAAAAAGGGCACTGAAAGAAAGATTGTCCGAAGTTGAAGAATAAGGCCAAACATAACAATGGAAAGGCCATTATGGATTCAAATATAGCTGATTGTGATGATTCAGACTTCTCATTAGTTACAANATTATGGATTCAAATGTAGCTGATTGTGATGATTCAGACTTCTCATTAGTTACAACAGAGTCATCAACATCATCAGACATATGGTTGATGGACTCGGCTTGTAGCTATCATATGTGTCCCAACAGGGACTGGTTCATAGATTTCCAAGAAGGAGAATACGGAGTCATCCACACAGCGGATAACAACCCTCTTACCTCATATGGCATTGGTTTAATACGATTAAGGAACCATGATGGAATCATTAGAACATTAACAGATGTTCGATATGTATCAGATTTGAAGAAAAATCTCATCTCTGTGGGAGCCCTAGGATCAAAAGGGTTCAAAATTATTGCAGAAAATGGAGTGGTGAGAGTATGCTCCGGTGAACTAGTGGTAATGAAGGCCAATCAGAAAAATAATAACTTGTACCGTTATCGCGGTAGTACATTTATTGGGACAATGATAGTGACATCTAGTGACAAAAAAGAGGTAGAAACAACCAGGCTATGGCACATGCGCTTGGGACATGCTGGAGGAAAATCCTTGAAAACTCTATCAGATCAAGGATTGTTAAAAGGAGTAAAGGCTTGCAACTTGGAGTTTTGTGAGCATTGTGTCAAAGGGAAACAGACAAGGGTTAAATTTGGTACAGCGATCCATAATACTAAAGGCATTTTGGATTATGTACACTCTGATGTTTGGGGTCCTTCCAAAACACCTTCATTGGGTGGGAAGCACTATTTTGTAACCTTTGTTGATGATTTTTCCCGAAGAGTATGGGTGTATACAATGAAGAGCAAAGATGAAGTGTTGGGAATTTTTCTCAAATGGAAAACGATGGTGGAGAATCAATCAGGCAGGAGGATCAAGTGTGTTCACACAGACAATGAAGGTGAATACAAAAATGATCACTTCAATAAAGTCTGTGAAAATGATGGCATCGTCCGACACTTCACTGTCAGACATACACCACAACAAAATGGAATGGCAGAACGTATGAACCGAACTTTGCTGGAGAAGGTACGGCGTATGTTGTCCAATGCTGGCCTAGACAAAGAATTTTGGGCCGCGGCAATTACATATGCATGCCACCTCATTAATCGTCTACCATCTGCTCCTATTGATGGCAAGACACCATTTGAAAAATGGTATGGAAAACCTGTTGTAGGTTATGACTCTTTGCACGTATTTGGCTCAACTGCATATTATCATGTGACAGAGTCAAAATTGGATCCAAGGGAAAATAAGGCTATTTTTATGGGGATTACTTATGGAGTCAAAGGATACCGCTTATGGTGTCCTATGACAAAGAAAGTAATATTCAGCATGGATGTTACCTTTGATGAATCTGCTATGGTAAATAAGATAACAGAAGATACCAAACAAAATGAGGATGCTTCTAAGCAGGTGGAGTTTAAGGGAAAATTTATTTTTCCTACACAAGAAGCAGAAGAGGAAACAAATGAAGATTATCCTCTAGAAGAAGAGCCAGTAGAGGAGATTCCAACTCAGGAACCTCAACAACAACTTGAATCAATAGCAACCAGCAGGCCAAAAAGAACAATAACGAAACCTGTTCGTCTCATAGAGACGGTTGCTTGTGCAACCTCAATTGTAGCTGATGATGTTCCTACCACTTATAAAGACGCAGTCCGAAGTTCAAAAGAAGATAAGTGGAGGATTGCCATGAATGATGAAATACAGTCCCTTCATCAAAATCATATATGGAGATTGACCAATCTCTCGAAGGGAAAGAAAGCAATTGGGTGCAAATGAGTATTTGCAAAGAAAGAAGGATTTCCTAACCAAGAAGATGTTCGCTACAAAGCAAGATTGGTGGCCAAAGGATATGCTCAAAAGGAGGGAATTGATTACAATGAAGTATTTTCTTCAGTTGTAAAATATTCCTCCATTAGAATTATGTTGGCTTTGGTAGCATAGTTGAATTTGGAACTAGTTCAGATGGATGTAAAAACTGTGTTTTTAGATGGAAACTTGGTGGAGGAAATCTACATGACTCAGCCAGAAGGATTCAAAGTTGCTGGAAAAAAAAATATAGTGTGCAAACTTGAAAAATCGTTGTACGGATTGAAACAATCTTCTAGACAATGGTACAAGCGATTTGACAAGTTTATGTTACGACAAGGGTACAAGAGAAGCAAATACAATCATTGTGTGTATTTGCACAAGCTTGAAGATGGTTCCTTTGTATATCTTCTCCTATACATTGATGATATATTGATAGCTTCCAAGAATTTGGAAGAAATTGATAAGTTGAAGATTCAACTCAAGAAGGAGTTCGAGATGAAGGATTTGGGTGAGGCAAAGAAAATTCTTGGCATGGAGATAAT